CACTTTGACCTAGCAAGACATTCAAACGTAAACTACAGAGCGCACTTAGACCTAACAAAACAATCAAACGTAAACTACGGAGTGCACTTTGACCTAACAAGACAGTCAAACATAAACTACAGAATGTACTTTGACCTAGCAAGACAGTCAAACATAAACTACAGAGTGCACTTTGACCTAGCAAGACATTCAAACGTAAACTACAGAGCGCACTTAGACCTAACAAAACAATCAAACGTAAACTACGGAGTGCACTTTGACCTAACAAGACAGTCAAACATAAACTACAGAATGTACTTTGACCTAGCAAGACAGTCAAACATAAACTACAGAGTGCACTTTGACCTAGCAAGACATTCAAACGTAAACTACAGAGCGCACTTAGACCTAACAAAACAATCAAACGTAAACTACGGAGTGCACTTTGACCTAACAAGACAGTCAAACATAAACTACAGAATGTACTTTGACCTAGCAAGACAGTCAAACATAAACTACAGAGTGCACTTTGACCTAGCAAGACATTCAAATGTAAACTACAGAGCGCACTTAGACCTAACAAACAGTCAAACATAAACTACAGAATGTACTTTGACCTAGCAAGACAGTCAAACATAAACTACAGAGTGCACTTTGACCTAGCAAGACATTCAAACGTAAACTACAGAGCGCACTTAGACCTAACAAACAGTCAAACATAAACTACAGAATGTACTTTGACCTAGCAAGACAGTCAAACATAAACTACAGAGTGCACTTTGACCTAGCAAGACATTCAAACGTAAACTACAGAGCGCACTTAGACCTAAAAAAACAATCAAACGTAAACTACGGAGTGCTCTTTGACCTAACAAGACAGTCAAACATAAATTACAGAGCGCGCTTAGACCTAACAAGTTAGTTGTCAAAACGTACTCGTAAAGCAATGAGGGAAAGGATAACGCACCGCTGAGGGATACAATTGGCATCGAAAGATTTTTATTCACGTTATACAAGTGAATAGAAACGTTCAAGCATTTTCCATGGTGTAATGTTTTTATTTCATACGTACTAAAATTTTTTTTTACTGAAAGCCGCACACTTGTTGCCCTCCACTGTGAAGTACCATCGTTCATGTCTACGATTGGACGAACGATGTATTCTCAGTCATTCGCTCAGTATGTATGAAATCAATTACGGTACTTTCAATGTTGGTTTTGAGAATCAGATACCGTATCAACACTTTTTTGAGCATAAATCTTTCAAAAAATCATGAATTATTATTATTTATCAGAACGATTGTCTGCCACAATCCTCAACCCTTAACAAAACGATCTATTTTTTTTGTGAAAGAACGTTTCCTGTCCATGTAGAACGTTTGAAGTAGTACCTTTCTGATCCCCTAACTCGATCAGATCAGAAGTCGTTCAGTTTAAAAGTTTCTTTTTCCTAAAAGCAACTGAAGTGGTTGCTTTAACAATTTTTTTAAGGGTTTAAGTAGTTCAGGAAATAAATAATTTTTATAACCTTCCATAGTTGCAAAAGTGCCCTAAAAGTGACTAAAGTGCCCTCCAAAGTTGCCAAAGTGCCCTTAAAAGTTACCAAAGTGCCTGTCACGTTACAGAAGTGCCCCTTTGTGTTACAAAAGTACCCTTTCCTCTAGCTCTCTCTCTCTTTCTCTCTCAAATGACTAGTTCTTCCGCAAAAATTGATTTTGAAGTTGTGAACTTTGTGCTACCAAATGTGTTTTTTAGGTAGATTGGCACACGGCCAGTTAACTTTTTCAATCCTTCTCAAAAAGTAACTGAGAAAGTTAAAACGAAAGGTATTTGAAGTTAACGGTTACATTAATCAGTGAAACTTTCGCGTTCATATAAAATTTGAATTCTCCAAAACAATTTGTTCGTGGTACAAAGTTGAGTGAAGTTTTGATTTCCACCCCAAATGCACTTTCGCTAACTCTTCGCAATTCTCATGAATTTGGACATCTACCGTACATTTCACAACAGAAACCGAAGTGATTCTATTACTAAAAGTCGCAATAAATCCGCGTGTCTAACAAGAAAAAGTGCCTCATTTGACTTCAGCTTTTCGGCGGAAGAAATAAAAAATTGCAGCAAACAAATAAAAACTCTCAAAACTTTAAAACACACATTTGAATTTACCTACAATAATTTTCGTTGCCTTTCATAACTGAACAGAGATAAATCTTCGAAAACTAATCGCCGTTGGGAATGAATAATACTTTCCGTGTAAGAGCACTAACTGTTTGTGAAGACAGCATCGTCGTGATAATATTTAACTCGAGTTTGATTGGCAAACCAGTACACTATTGCTGTTCATGCAAATTTGCACATGCATATTTTTTTTTTTTTTTTTGCTTTCTAGTGGACAGGTGTCAGGTTGTGACATAATCTTATAAAAATTGTTGCAAGGTTTTCATTGAACACTATAGTAAATCAATTCTACTATTACACAAATAAAAATGTTTAGGTGAAGCCTCTCTTTAATTCTGTTTTCTCAATGAATTGTTCAGTTCATGGAGAATCGTGCCGTTATTACAGCCCTGGATATTCGGGATTTTTTTCCAAGCATTTTTCTAAGTTAAAAAAAATAAAAATGTTTCTCACCATCCTACGTCTGTCTGTAATGAGAAAAAATGTGCCTGAGTTCTTACCGCTAAAGGCCGTAAGAAATATATGTTATTTGCCGGCTGGGAGGTCCGTATGGTGAAAAACTGTGACCGAGGTCTTGAAAATACTGCCCGAGGCCGTAGGCCGAGGGCAGCATTTTCAAGACCGAGGTCACAGTTTTTCACCATACGGACCGACCCTTAGCCGGTAAATAACATATTTATTGTTTTTAAACTTAACGAAATTCTTTCCAAAAGAACCCGAATGATTTATGGACGTAAATAAGGTAAGATCACATAAACTGAACAATTTTTGAGTGGGTAAATGGTAGTTAAAATAGGGGTGATGCAAATTTAAGAGAGATGCTTCAGCGAAACATTTTCATTTCCGTAACGATAAAGGTGATTTAAAAGGCTTCCAAACAAACTTTGAAACATTATTTTTACAAGTATCTGTCACAATCTGACACCTGTCAATTAGAGAGCGCACAAGAAAAAAAAATGCGTAGGAACATTTGAAAACCAACAGAACTAGTTTGGCAAGGACTGTCACGACAATGTTTTCTTCAAAATCAGTTAATGATCTAACGGAAAGTATTATTCACTCTCATCGACCATTCATTCATGTACGAAGATTTACCTCTGTTCATTAAGTAAACGGCGAGGAAAGTAATTGTGAGTAAATTCAATTTTTTTATTTTGAAGTTGTGAGAGTTTGCTCGTTTGTTTGCTGTAATGGCGTGTTTAACTCTGATCTTTCCTTCACAGAAACTAAATTCGAACGGCACACTCCAACGAGACACAAGGGAATGTAATGCGGCCTTTTCTCAAAAAATTCCTTCAATTTCTGTTGTGCAATTTAAGGTACAAATGTCCAAATTGAACGGAATTGGAAAGACTCACCAGGAGCGTATATTTGTTGTAGAACTTAAATTAAAACTTCGCTCGCTCTTTCACTATGAACAAATCGCTCGAGAAAATTCAGATATTAAATGAATGAAAGTTCCATCGTTCAGTTTAACTGTAACCAAATACCTCACGTTTCAACTTTCTGGGTACTTTTTGTGAACGATTAAAATTAATTGCAGACGGTTTTTAGGCCGCTTGTCAACCAACGTAATGACACTATTGTTTATACAAATTCATTCTGAAACCAATATTTTTCTGTCAACCAAAGTGATTTGATAGAGAGAAAAGAGAGGATTCATAAGTTATTTATCGGCTTGAGGTAGTGACCGACGTGTTTGCTTAAAAATACTGCCCAGCCGGAAAACGAGGTATATTTATGAAAAATGACAACGAAAGTTGGGATGTACTCGGCGACTCACGAAAGCGTTACCGTGGCCCGTGGGCAGAGATAGGAAAATACTGACCGGGTAAAGAACCAATCAGATTGCAAGATTCGTTACCGTGCCCTCCAAAAAAACAATAAAAGGCGGTATCCAAGACCTCGGGAACAGTTTTTCCCAAACAAACCCCCAGTACTGACATATGAACTTCATAATTGGTCTTGCTCACCTTAGAGTTTCCGTGGCTCAGTGATAGAGCATTAGAGTGCGGAATCTGAGGTTCGATTCCTCATGGAGACTCAGAATTTTTTTCTTTGTCCCACGCTCGTGACTAAACGAAAAAACATCTTCCACTGCGGTATTGACACGTTGTAACAAACGAACGAAACAAACTAAAATGTAGCACCTAAAAAGGGGATGTTATTTAGACACGAAATCAAGAAACAAAGGGCAAGAACTGAAACCGGTCTGAAAAAGGGGACCACACCTCTAGCAAGAATTGCCAGAATCCTCCGACCCCCATTTGGGAATTTTGTGCAAAAAAACTTTCATCATCTGATCACTGGTCTGCAGTGTCGGTAAGAAAGAGATTAAGTAAAAATATTTTTGGATTCTCTGAGACCAAATTTCGATTTTGGCTCTAATCGTGAGGTTTTATAAAGAAACATGTTGCAAAATAGAGGTCCCTGGACTGGTGAGGTGTAAAGATGTACGTCAAGTTGTTTTTTCCCACAACATGGGTTACTTTGAAATCAATCTCTAGATACATAATTTTTCTAGAAAAACAGGATTGTTTCGTAACAAAGAAGCAAAACAGAAAAATGATGATGATCACACTGTATACAGATGCCTGTCTCTCATAACGTCACAAATCAGCTGCCTGTTTCTCTCCTATAAATGGACATACTTTTTCAAGTGGACATAATGTCTGCAGGAGACTAGCTTTTTCTGGCATATACATAACTGACTAAAATTCTCCTAACTCCCTTGTATTTGGATTGGGGTAAAAGGCAGACATTCTTTATAACCTAAACATTAAATAAATCATCACAACCAAAAAATATATGTATTCATTTTAATTTTGTCATGTTCATGTGACAATTAAATATAACATTTTGCATTAACTAAAACATACTCTATTTCCCAAATGTGTTACATATTTCCCAAACATTTTGCATTTGTTTTACCAAGACCACCATTTACCTCATGATAATTGTTTGAATGCAGAAACATATTGTTAGACAATAAGTACACTACATAAATAAATAAAATCTGAATAAATAGGTACACAAATAAATAAATAGATAGATCATTGCAAAATAAATAAGCTTCTTCTATCACCAACTCAGACATACTATTTACAATGTCTTATTAAATTCAATTCATGATTTTCCCTCTAGTACCTGATAAACTATATTCTTCTTGGTACTAGACACTGAGATAACAGAAGAAGGGATAATAGAAGAAATAATCAAGTTTTAATAACTAAAGATAAAATCCTCTCATGCTATCACATTAATTTACATTGCTTTAGAGTAACAATCTCAAAGTGCCTGAGAAATGAGTTAACTGTCAGTGATAACATATTCCAATCGCAATTCCCCCACATGAGGATTCAAATGCTTTGAAGGCAATAAAAAGCTGATTCCAGAAGATGTAACTCACAAATGGTGAGTTATTTAGGCTAATAACATTCATTGATTAATGATCAATCAAACTGATAATTATCACATTTCAGAGGCACTTATAGACTTGTTTTATATTTAATTAATATAACATAGATTCCCACAATGACATAAAAATTGTCCTTAACAGTCCAATTACTGAATAGAGTAAAATGAAATAATGCACAATGACACTGGGAACTTTAAAATCAATAAAATCATTTAGAAATACAAATGATCTTAATCATGGATAACAATAATTATCTTTAAGAAATCATCAACTACTTTGACATGGAACTTGTTAGTTCTATGTTTGGGCTACCTCATTTGCTACATTTAATAAATTTACAACCCCACAATTAGATTGAGCAGAGGGATCAACATACTGAAATGGAGTTGTGCATATCACTTTGTCAGCACTTATGTTCACCATGAGTAATGGACATTTACCACTGCCAAAGGCCAGTACTTATCCCTAGGCTCAAAAGATGGAGCTATATCAGAGAAAGTTTTTGAAAACTACCTATATTACCATAATTTCAGTGAAAGCTATCATGATGCAACAAACTTGATTTATCCTTTGTTAGTTGCAGAAACTACCAGTACATAAATTTGTCCAAAACTTTTCCACAGTAAATACATTGATTGAAGATATTCAACTGCAGGATTAAAATTCAAATATAAGACCTTCAAATTACTATTTAAAGTGAAGAACATGAAAATTGTGCAAATTTAAGGTTTTTTCTATCAAACTTTTGCTTAAACCTTCAAAAACAACCAAAACTTTGGGAAGTGCAAAGAACAGCTGGATGGAGACATGAAAGACATAAAAACACATCTTTTGATCTTTTGATCATCATCATCTACATGAAGTTTCCAAGGCATAAGAGAAGAAGAGCAGGTATCTCTTGTAATCACATACAATTTATAATTCTCACATTGTCTGAGTCTAAATCTAGTCACCACACCTTAGCAATACCTTTCAACTTTAGATGTTGGTTTTAACTTGTGAATCAAAATCTGTATTTTGTGATGACTGGAAAGGAATCTCCTATACTTTTTGCTCTCTAAACTGTTAGGTCTTATAAACCACTTCAAGTAACTCCTTCACTCTCAAAATCTGATTGGCAATTTTTCTTCTTGATTTTAATGTTCAGGGCTTAGAGCTCAACTTTCATCAAAGTCACTATTTGGTGATCCTAAATCCTAAAATTAACACAAGAAATAAATTAGAGGTTCACCAGTTCACTTTACGAAGTATTAATTGACTTGTAACACCATGACAATACACCCTGGTTTAAAGATAACCAATTAACAGAAAACAATCATTTTTGAAGATGACACATCACCTCAAGGTTTTAGATTTGACTTACAAGGATAGAGACCTAATTTTTCACAAATTAAAATGATGAGAAATTAAGAAATGTTTGATGCAAATGCTAATCTGAGATCAACCTTTGACCATAAACAAAAAGTAATAAAAATGTTGCAACTTGCTACATGATTGTTTGTCACTGCATGGTCTTTGGATTTGGAACTTTCCCAGAAAATTGGGCTGTCCTTGATTTTTTCCTAGTTGCCAAGTAATCACAACTTGGAGTGTTATGCTTACATTAAACTTTCAAAGAATTTTATGTACAAGTCATTCCCTGGAGAAAAAGCTTCAAATGTTGATTTTTTTTACTTTAATGACAAATTCCTAATTTAATGAAGGCATTCCTTGCTGTAGGAACAAGAAGAAACAAAATTTGTTGAAACTAAAAGGAGCACACCTAATATTCCTATATTTAATTGCAACCCTAAGGGTTCAGAAAGAAATCATGATTTGAAATGTTCTTTACAGTATCAGTTAGACTGAGCAGACCAGCCGACTATTGTTACATGATGAAATAATTATTTGTTGCTTTCATTTCCTAGTTTCTGGAATGCATCCAGACATGAGAATGAAAATATTGCAATCAATGTCACAGAAATTAAGGAACCAAATTGAAGCCCACCAAACCAAACCTAAAGCTTGAGAATTAGTTTTGATTTCATGACAAGTCCATTTCTTCTATGATACATTATGGACACTCAAATATCATATGAAAGATTCAATATCACAACCAAAAACAATCCATCTATGGAGTAATATTGGATTAACTCTTTCTGAATGGCATATGAACTCCCTGCTCATGGGTTACATTACAAGGGGTTGGGATGAAAATTGAAACCAAAATAATGATCAAGATAACATCCCTTTTAGTGAAAGCCCTATCACAACCACAACTGAGACAACTTCAAAACAGAATGTAACATTGTTAAAGAAACCTTTGAAAGTAAACAAAGAACCACGCACTAGCAGAGAATGAGACAGGAGCTTCACCAAAACTAAGAAAGCTTGACAGATTGATAGCCTAAGGAAGAGATGTGCAAAGAAAATACACAACAACAATCTCAAATTGAGTGGCTCACTGAATCAATCTGATTATGAATGGAAACTGTTCAAGAACAGATGATGACACTTCAAGATTGTGTATTACCATTAACGTTTTGAAAGTGTAAGACCAAGTAAGCTCTTTTTCCAAAGATTACTGCAGACAATGGATATCAATAAATGATAAGTGAGATAGTCTGTGCATGTTATTATCATTGCATCTACAGGTAATCTCTTCAAAAACTAAATCAAAATTAGTGGGGCTATGCATCAATTACAGTACAGATTTTCATATGACAGAAAGAAAAATTGCATGTTAATAAAAGAACTCTGTTACAGTCACTAGTAATTGTTACTACTTAATGTAAGCAACATCACTATCAGGAGACTTACCATAATGCTATGATAAGTTGAGTGATTGCAATTGATCTTCAAACTCACTCTTCCTTGACAATTTCTTCAGTTGATCGCAATCTAATTTTGCCCCTTTGCAGTACTTCTCCTCTAAGCCACTAATTTCTGCCAGTTTCTTTTTAATCTTCCGAATCTGTTTTTCAATCTCACTTTTCTTTAAGTCATCCTGGGAGGAATGAAGATTCACCGACCTGCTACCTCCAGAAACTTCTGACTCCTGTTTGGCAGGGACTTCACCAATATCTACAAAATGTTCTTGGATATCACCATCTTCAATAGGGTTCTCCTCGAAGTGGACATCTTTTTTACTGACCTTAGAAAGTAATAATGGCTTACTTTGATCATTACACCCACTTTTATGAATAAAAAGAGAGAGATTGGAAGGTTATCATTAGTTTCAGTGTTATTTACCTTGTTCAGATGATGGCCTTCTCCCAAGCTAATCTCTGGTTGGTTGAAATTATTCAATAAGTTCTCAGTGTGGATTTCATAATTATTGGAGTCATGGTTTTTGTGATTGCTGTGACGAAATGAATTGTTGAAATTTCTGCGTCTGGAGAGGGATCGATAATAGCTGGGCCTGGCTGCTGGATAAACACAATAGTCATACCCCTGACCTGGTGACTGTAGGGACCCTGGTCCACCAGTTTGGTCATGAAACCCATATGAGCATGTGAACGAAGCCTGACCTGTTGATACTGCAGGAATCATATTGTACATGTTGGAGAAGGACAAAAAAGTTTGTGGTACTCCAGTGGACTGGTAGCCATTGGGGTTTTGAAACTGAGGAGCAAATTGGTACTCTAGAGGCCACTGTTGTAAGGCAAATGGATAACTTGTGAATTGGCATTTGGTATCGTACACCTGGCCATTTGAAGGTTTGCCAATCGACTTAAGAAAATCCTCTTTAAGGTCTTCACTCGGTATGTATTTTGTATAGTCAAATCGCTCTTCTTTAGGGATCCTTTCACCGTTTCCCAAACAACCATTAGTTTCAGGGACAAGTGTCTCACTTTCTGATTGTGGTGATCGCTGTTCAATTGATTTCCTGCCGTCGATCGAGTTCAATCCCTCTTCGGATGATACTACAGTTTGTTCACTCATACTCAAACAGTCTTCGTTCAGTCTTTTCTCTGGTTGTTGGTCATTCCCGTTTGACTCTATTTCTGGATCATTGTAGGAATTTTTTCCACTTTCATCTGCTTCGCTAGCGAAAGAATTGTAATTTCGTATGCCGCCTACTACTTCTAGCCCACTCTCGCATCCGGTCTCGGTTGCTTCGCATGACGTACACTTGAGGGAAGTTGCCGACGAAAAACTTTCAAATACTTGGTTTTTCTGAGTTTTCCCATCAGTATCACCCTTTTCTCGCTGCATTTTACAACTTTCTGACTGAAAGAGATTTAGAGATTCTTTATGGTCCACTTCTTCAGCAAAACTTTCATGCTTTGCGTTCAATGGACATATGGCCTTTTCACCGATAGGGATTTCTCCTTTACACTTATTCATACAACGTCCCATTAGCGCGGCTGTTTCCTTTTGAGAGGAGTCGCACGAATGGAAACTGGCTTGGTGCGAGTTCTCGAGGTTTTGACCGCTTTCGGACATGATCTTTCTTCGGTCAATGTCCCAGGTAGCCAAACCTCGAAAGACTTAGTCAGCTGTTCTCTAACACAATCACTCAAACTCTGACTTGGTAACTTTTTATTTGTTACAAATACGCATGCGAACTGAAGGCCACCTGCTTTCCTTAAGTTTCGTCAGTCTCGTTCCCAGGGGATTCTCGGTCAATTTTCCAAGAAAGAAAGGAAGTTGGACTATGGATAAATTTGAAAGCGATCTTCGCAGTAATGAACACTACTTAGGCAGTCGTGAAATTAAGGCCTGTACGGAATTTGAACCCATGACCTCTGCGATTCTCTACCAATAAACACGTGAAGCGATGAATAAATAGCTCTGAATATATGAAAAACCATTTATGTGAACTGCGCATTAAGTCTATCCGTAGTCCTCACATAACAGCAAACCGCCTTAATTTTTTTGATGCAAGCAACCGTTCTTTTTTTATGGCTAGGGGTACAAACTTAGAATTCTTTGTACATTGCAGTCTAAAGAAGCATAGAACTATGGAATAAAAAAAGGTAGATAATTAATACTCTATGTTGTGTAGTAACACGCCATCTCCTCAGTGCAAGAATTTTGGGGTCTGACAAGTGGCGAAAAAGTCACAGGTCTGATGGGAAGGGGAGGTGGGGAGCCCCACATACCCCTTCCCTGGACCTGCCACTGAAAGGCATACTAAAGTTTCAGAGTAAACCAAAACCCTGCCCCTCAGCAGAATGGAATAGTTAACTCTACTGGCTAACATGAGAACACTAAATGTACCGGTCACCTATCCCAAGTCTTGTGCTCTCCAGTCCTACATGA